TTTTAACTCCTCTACCCCCCAAATAGGATAAGGTTTTAGAAAAAGAAGAGGCAAGATAATTTTGAGGTAGTACATTTTCTGTTGCTGTTGCCTATAAACACTGGTGACTTGAACAACATAAAATTATTATATAGAAAGATGTAATTTAAGCCCTGCAAGAAAATGATGGTACACCTAGATTACTGCATCCAGAAAAACTATCCTTCAAAGTTGAAGGAGAAATAAAGACCTATGATGATAAACACAAAGTAAAGGAGTTCATGACCACTAAGCCAGATCTGTTGAGTCTACTTAAAGGAATTCTATACCACCAAAGTTGAAGATAAATACAAACTTGAAGATACATGAAAGAATAAGCCTCTCTTGAAAAGCAGATAAGAAAATGAGGACAGCAAAAGAATCAAACGTAACACATAAGCAACAACAACAAAAACCCAAGAGGAGATGTTGCTCGCATTTTCAGCATGGGGAACAGGAACTGTTACTCCACTTACCCCCCACTTCTTCCTACTATCTGTTATGCTAAAACAAATCTTGATAAATGACAGGAATTAACAGATACCTTTCAATAAAAACTTAATATTAATATTCTTATTTCTCCAATGAAAGACATAATTACAGAGAGGATGGAAAAAATTAGAACTGACTGTTAGTTTCCTGGAAGATAAATACTGAAACACTGACAAAGATAAACTCAGACTGAAAATGAATTAATGAGATGCCATTCTAAGCCATTGTAACCTGAAAGGATACTCCTGCTGGAGCAGCCATAGTCATATCTGACAATGCAGACTTTAAAAAACAAAGTTTATGAGATGAGACAAAGAAGGTCACTTCATATTGAAAAATGGGGCAGTCATCTAGAGGATATAACAATTATAAACATATATGTACTAAACATCTGCAAACCCAATTGCACAAAACAAACACTATTGTACATAAAGGAACAGGTACACCACAATAAAATAATAGGGGGCGACTTCACCACTCTCACAGATAGACAGGTGATCCAGACAAAAATATCTGAAGTGAAGCATGACACTGCATTTAAATGAATTTAAGACATCTGCATTGCATTCCACCAAACAGCCACAAAATACACATTTGTCTTAGCAGATTACATTTTAGAACATAAATAGCCTCTTAAGATGTACAGAATATTGAAGTATTTTAACAGAGCATAATGGAATAAAAGTAGATATCAACAGCAAGAGAACCAAGAGAATATATAAAACACATGGAGTTTGAAAAATTTGTGATGTCCAATCAATGATAAGTGGGTCATCAAACAAGAATAGGGGGAGATTTTTAAAAAATCTAAGAATCAAATATAGATGAAAACATAACATACCATAATATGTGGGATAAAATGAAAGATTCTAAGAAGGAAGTTTATAGGTATAAATACATAATTAAAAAAAGAAGAGCTCTCAAATAAATAACCTAATGATGCACCACAATCTCTTAAAAATAGAAGAACAAGTCAATTCCTAAATAGGTAGAAGGAAAGAAATGATATATTTCAGAGTTGAAATTAATGAAATTGAAATTACAAAAACAATACAAATATAAATGAAGCAAAGAGTTGTTTCTCAGAATAGATAAACAAGACTGACAAAACTTTAGGCAAACTATACAAAATAAATAGATAAGACTATTATTGATGCTCTTAACAGAGAGCTACTGTTCTTCTTCTGCTTTGTGACTAAGGCAGTATTTTTTCTCTGAATTGTTCATAGCAGCAAACTTGTCCCATACATTGACCATATCATGTTAATCAAACTGGAAAAGTCTTCTGAAAATCTGTGTAAAATTCATATCCTCCATAGGATGACAGCTGAGTCTGACAAATCTTGTGTATTGGGAATGTGTGTTTAAAATAGAAGGCATATTTTAAAAAATAATTCTTGGTACTTATACAAAGTGTACTCATAGATTTGTTGGAGAGAAAAGAGTAGCATCTGGGATCATGGTTTACACTGAGGTAGGAACCAGATTAGAATTGGATTTCACACCACTGCAGAGAGGCAGAGAGCTAGTTATGTGTGGGAAGGAATGTAAACAGGTAAAAGATGTCCAGAGGAAGTATAGCAAAGGAAACTCTTATCTAGCCAACAAATTTATTTTCTTCTTAGACATATACCCTCTCTTTCCATCTAAAATGATGAAATTTAGTATTGAGAGTTATGTACATCATCTACATTTGTTTCATTAGCAACCTATATTCAGACCCCATGTGACTTTCCTCATTCTTCCTTGATTCAAATGAGTGCAGAGACACTGCAGGAAGTCCTTTGTGGAAAGCACATGAGTGACAACATAGAAAAGATCTAGGCCTCTGAACCCCAAAGTAGAATAAAATGCTCTTTCCATTATGAATATGTGCTTTACACTTTACATGAAGAACTAAACTTCTATTTGTTAATCCATGAAATCTTGGAGATTATCTAGATATGTAGCTACTGTTACAGTAAATAATATACATGTGCAATGACACAAAACCCTTAACTCTATACAATTAACTACTGTTATATTTATAAAGAAATTGATATTCAATATTAAGAATTTCAGCTGTTATCTAAAGTGGAATGAGAAATTGCTTACACATTTTTAGTGAAGAGGATGAGCTTATGCATTGTTAGTAGAAGGTGTATAGTATGTTTTTGGAGTGGAAAATGAATTATGGTTGTTACAAGATATAGTGTGGCTAGAAGGATTTAAAAATCCTGACTAGAGATGAATGTATTTGGGATTTGAAGGTCAATTGTGGAGACAGAAAAAAATTAGTTGAATTTAAGACATCTTTATTAGATAAATTCTAGAGGACTTGTCTATAGTAGAAAAAATAACATCCAGGTAATGTTTGTGTCAACAGTGTTTCCCTGGATTATTATTTGCATAATGCACATTTGGTGACCCTGTTCCCTGAGAAAGGAAACACTGTAAAAAATTAAGCTTGGTGTGATTTGGCAACATTAGTATCACATTTGTTCCTGTTAACTTTTAGGAACATTGGGATTTCTAAGTGGAAATCAATTTAATTAGATTAAAGAAATTAATATTACTCTAAGAAATATAAGAGGAATGAATAAAAGCTTATTTTAAACTCTTTTTCAGTGATACTTTACAAACAAGTATCTGTGAACCCTGAGGACACAATGTGAAGTTGTAGTTGTTATAACTAGCTGTGTGGATAATTTGATGGGTAGCTCACCATACCCAGTAGAATGACTTCATCCTACTGGGAATCTCTAGGAAGCATTGTGGGAATTTCAATTTCATGAAAGAATGGGTTTGAAATAAAAGAAATAAATGCTTTCTCCCTCCAGTGTGGAGTTTCTTCCAAAAATTGGTATATAAATAACAGGACTTCTTTCTATAGCTTTTCTGTTCCTTCCAGAAAATCCACACCTTTTGTTTTTCAATGTTTCACATGAATTAGGTGAGAATGCAGATAATTTTGTAATTATGATTATTACAGCTTTGAAAAATGTCTGTCAGGTAACAAAATGATTAAGTAAGAAATTATAATCCTAGACAATTTAAGAAAATAATCAGCAGTCAAAATATGAATAGACAAATATAAATTCCCTTCCAAACATGTATAATACAATTAGGATATTTACTATGTAAATAGGTAATAAAATTGTTGGAATGTTTTGAAATAAACTTTGAATAACAGAAATGAAAAGTGAAAATTTATGGTAATAATTTTCAGGAAAATTCAACATTTAGAGTTTAGCTATTATGTAAAAAGTTTTATTAACTGAGGTATAAGTTACGATGCTCAGATCTAAAGTATTTGTAATTTTTCAGAACTAGAAAATTGGGCTTAGGTTTGTACAGCTGACTGCAATGAAATTCCTTAATTTCATAGAATCATGAGAATATGGGTAATGTCACTGAAGATGAAACAATGAATTCCTTATGTCTCCTTGTGTATCATAAAGCCCTGACAAAATATCACAATGCCTATTATTTCTTGGCTGAATTACATATTGCTTTATTAAAATTAGAACTATTAATAATTTGGTTATAAGATTTTATGAAGAAAATTATAGCTCTTTATTCTGGAAAAAACACATCTCTTATGAGTCCTAACTTTAAAATGATGAACTTTAGTTTCGTGCATACAGCTGTTCTCTGTGGATATGTATTTATAAACAAGAATTCTAAAATTCATTCATCATTTATTTTCAAGGAAGGTAAATAATAACTAACAAGTGTTTCCTTTATTTATCTTTAATTTTTAGAAAAATAGCATTTATTTACATTTTAAAATTAGACAAAACATTTGAATATTTTCACAAAGTATAATATTTTTATGTTCCCAAATTATTTAAAAATGTTCTCTATAACGTTATGACATTTTTTTCATACTGGAAATATAGCAATCTCTTCAAAAATATTGAGCAGGTTGCTTTGTTAGTGGTGGGGGGCAGTTTGAACTCAGGGCCTTACTCTTGCTAGTAAGGCACTCTATCTCTCGAGCCCTTCTGCCAGTCCTTCAAAAGTATTGAATCTTTTTTTCTGAGTTCCTTCAGAGATTATGAATTGTGGAAAATGCTCTTTGCTTCATGCAAACATTAAATATTATATTCTTAATAGTGAGAACAAATAAAGTATGCAGGACCACACTTAATGTTAAATTACTGAAAAATACACTAAAAAAATCCATTACTCTATTTGAAGTAGCAGCTTTCACAATTACAAACAGCATTTAGAGGAGTATATATACTTCTGAAATATCTTGTTAGATTGACAAAGATTTGCATTAAATTTGCATGTTAGTTCAAGTGAAATGCAGATACTACATTTTGGAGAAATTCAGATGTGTATAAAAGCCAATAAAGATAAGGTTCAGGGTAAAAAAGGGTAAAAATTTGGAAAAATTAAAAAAGTGAGCAGCATCTCTCAGGAAAATGTTAGTCACAAAATAAGCATCATATTTGTGATTCATTTGTGTTTGTTCTTCCATTTAGTGATTGGCTATGATAGGTATGGCTGAAGAAAACCAGACTCTGGTGACTGAATTTGTCCTCACAGGACTTACAGATCGTCCAGAGCTGCAGGTGCCTCTGTTCCTGGTGTTCCTGGTCATCTACCTCATCACCATGGTGGGCAACCTTGGGCTGATTGTGCTTATCTGGAAAGATACCCACCTTCATATCCCCATGTACATATTCCTCAGCAGTTTGGCCTTTTCAGATGCGTGTGCTTCATCTTCTGTGACCCCCAACATGCTTATCAGTTTTTTATTTAAGAATCACAAAACATCCCTGCTTGAATGCTTTACTCAACTTTATTTTTTTGGTTCTAGTGCAACTACAGAATGTTTTCTCTTCTCAGTAATGGCCTATGACCGCTATGTAGCCATATGTAATCCCTTGCTTTATCCAGTGATGATATCCAACATGCTCTGTATTCAGTTTGTAGGTATTTCATATTTGTTTGGTCTTCTCCATTCAGTGATTCACATGGGTTTGCTAGTTAGATTAACTTTCTGCAAGTCAAATATTATACATTTTTTCTACTGTGAAATTTTACAACTGTTCAAAATCTCCTGCATTGATCCTACAATTAATATGCTTGTGATTTTAATCTTTTCTGCTTTTATACAAGTCTTTACTTTTATGACAATTATCATATCATATTCCTATGTCCTTTTTGCGGTCCTAAGAAAGAAGTCCAAGAAGGGGAGTAGCAAAGCCTTCTCCACCTGCAGTGCTCATCTGCTCTCTGTCTCTTTGTTCTATGGCACTCTGTTCCTAATGTATGTGAGCCCTGGGTTTGGACCAACTGAAGAGCAGGACAAAATGTATTCTTTATTTTACACAATTATAATTCCCTTACTAAATCCTTTTATTTACAGCCTAAGGAACAAAGAGGTTATAGGTGCCTTGAGGAGAATAATGAAGAAATAAATAGTTGTCAGACAAGTTAGTAACTTTCTCACGTTTTTTGATGGAAAAAGTTCAAGTGCTATGGTTTAGCCACTACCCTGCCATTTCACCAGAGGCTCTGTGAACTCTCTATGAAGAAACTTAGCCTTGTTTTACGTTTCTCTGTGTTTGATTCCAGTAACACTTTGCTAATGTTACACATAACTAGGTTACTTAAAAACATTGTGCTTCATTTTAGCTGACACTTAGCTTTTGCAAAATCTCCTAGGGACTTCCTAATTTACCCGGAGTAATTGATAGTTTTTTTGAGAAATATTGAGAAACATGTAACAAAAAATATCTCTAAGTGTGGCTGGCATACAGAGTTAGTTACCTGAATGAGCCTAGCCCCTCCCCCATGGGCCTGAAATTTAAGAAGACTTTTGGTTTTTTGCCATATGCGGTAACTCTGGTAGAATGATAAAGTATAACTCTCCTTCTTGGTAAAATGTATGTCTGAGAGAAATGTAATGTTTAATGATAAAAGTTTAAAGGAGTGCAAAGGTCTAAAAATATTACTCTATTTTAGGAAGAAAAATGGAAACTGAAATGAATTAAAAAGAGTAGAGAAGAAAATATCAACGTGCATCTTTTCAACTCAACATAGTATGTTTATGGAAAATGTTACACAAACATTAGAATATTTTAGTGTAATAGAACTGATTTCAGAGATTAACCTGGTTATGCAATATTATTCCTATGAGCTTCACATAGCAGAAAGGAAGAAGACTAATTGAGATATAAGAAAATTTACTGTATGAGGATAGAAAAGGAAAATTGTAACAAAAATTTCTCTCTTTCCCTTGAGCAGAAGGCAAGAAAAGAATACCAAATTTTACAAACATTGTATGAGAACAGGAATGAAAACTTGTGTCGACTGTGTGTGTGGACATATTCCATCTGTCTATCTACCTATCTTTCTCTCTCACTGTCTATCTTCTATCTATCTATCTGTCACTGAATTGTAAGTAAAATTGTCAGTAAGATCTTATTGTCACAATATCACAGTTTATATTAGTTGTACAGACATATGACTAAACTCTTTTATAAAATGATTACAATCTTTCTCTTTTACAATATTGATGTATGGAAAGTTATCATATAAAATGAGAATAAACATTTAAATGTTGAAGAGTAAAAATATGTCTTTTATTTGAGTATATGTAAATAACTTTAGTCTTTGTCACATCAACATTTTCAAGAATTCTTGTAAAATTTACCTAAAGATTTAAGCATATGATTAATATCTTCTGTCACAAATGTATTTTTAGACAAAGATAGTTTGTTTAAATAGTTCTAGGATTGATTCCAATAGGTTCCCAATAACAAAAGAACAAAATTAAAAAGATATGTTGGCAAGGATGAGGGAGAAAAAGTTGCCCTCTCATACTGCTGGTAGGAATATACAACCACTATGGAAAATATAATGGAAGCTTCTTAAAAACTAAAATAGATCCGCTGTATGATCCAGAAATATCACTCCTAGTGATATACCTCAGGGAATGTGATTCAGGTTTCTACAAAGTCACCTGCACACCCATGTTTATTGCAGCACTATTCTTAATAGCCAAGCTATGGAAGCAGCCAAGATACCCCAATACCAATGAATGGATTAGGAAAATATGGTATTTTATTTAGCCACAAAGAAGAATGAAATTTTATAATTTGTAGGTAAGTGGATGGAACTGGAGGACATCATTTTAAGTGAAGTTAGTCAGGCTCAGAAGGCCAAAAATCATGTTGTCCCTCATATGCAGATTATAGACCTAAAACAAATGCAGTAATATTATTGGACACAGGTTACATACTAAGGGGATACTGTACGTGAGAGGGATAGGGAAAGGGAAGGAAACCAAAAACATGAGTGTGGTTGATATGCTTATTATATAGAAGTGAATAAAGTAATCTTAAACTGGCTGAGGCCACTATGGGAAGGGGACTAGTAAGTAGTGAAGAGGTCTGGTACAGATGAACCAATTTGGGTTGTAATACACATATGCATGGAAACAACATAAGGAATGTCCCTATATAGCTATCTTCATCTCAAAGTAGCAAAACTGTACATTTTTCTTTTTTATCTTATGTGTCTTTTTTTCAACACAATTGGGCAACAAGAGGGCAGAACTTGTTCTGCCGAGAGGCGGTGGGAAGGGGAGTATAATGATGTATATACATGTAAGTAAATGTAAAACAGTAAAATAAAATTAAAAAAATAATGAGTTCAAAAGAATGGGCCCCTCATGATAGGCTTAGGACCCTAGACACCTGTATGCTAGAGAGGGAGCCATTTGAAAGTCAGGAAAAATATCTCACTGGATCCTTACCAATTGGCACCCTGATCTAGATTTTTCTGATTAGGAAATAAACTTTCTTTTATTTAAGATGTCCAACCTATTGGTATTTTATTGCTTTTGTTTGTTCCACTGATCTTTTGATTCATTTTATTCTTTTGTATTATTTCTAAGCTTATTCATTAAAATCTGATTTAGCTTATTTGTTAAAACTCTTATTTTCAGTAGGTTGCCTCAGTTTATGATATACAGATTCTTCTTGTAGTGCTGGGTATAAAGCCCAGGGCATTCAGCATGCTAGGCAAGTGCTCTATCATTGAGCCACATCTTCAGCCCTAGAATATATGGTTTTAATTCATCACCATCTGCCTTCAAATAATATTTTTTCTCCCTGAGTTACATAAGTATAAGAATATTCTTCTTTCCTAAGTGTCTCTAATGAAATTTTGTTACATATTTAACTTGTACATATTTTAAAAGTTTATCATTGTCATTATTTGTACATTAGTCAATTATTCCTAAAACATTATGAAATAAGAAAACATCTTTTGCCTTTACTCATATATTTATCCATTTTTCTTTTTATTTCTGTGTGTAAACTTAAATATTTATCTGCTTTCACTTATTGCCTCCTTCATTTTGAAAGGTATTTTCACTTCTAAATTTATATATTTTTTCTTTCGTTCTCAGCACTTTAATATTTTATGCTATGCCTTTTGGCTTGGAAATTTCTGACAAGCTAATAACTACCACTCTTATTATTGTTCCTCTGTGGTGGTTTTTATTTTAGGCACTATATTCTTCATATTTTGTCTAACAGAAATTTGATTATAATGTACTGTGGTACAGTTTTTTGCTTATCATATATGAGCCCCAGTGACCTTCTTTGATCAACTGATTAATAGTTACCAAAACTTGGAAAAACTTTGCCCATATTTCTTGAACAAAATTTTTGGCCTTTACCTTTTTTTCTGGGATAGCAGCTACACATATGTGGGTACTGCAGCTATTATCTGACAATAATTAACCTGTTTTTAATTGTTTTTAAATCTAAACTTTTACTCTAGGAATCTGATACACCATTTGCTGTGTACAGGTAGCCATACTGTATTATAACGACAATTTTGGAAGAATGTAGATTTCATGTGCTATAATCAAATGTGCATATCAAAACTTTGTAAGGAGATGGATATGCCATTTGCTTGACTTTAGTGATCATTCTGTACATTAACAAAAGACAAGCGTAGATCAATAGTAGTATCATAAAACATAAGATATGAAAGCAGAAGATATAAGGATGTGTACTGAAAGCAGTTGACAAATGGGTGGTGGGAAGTAAAGGGGTAGGGAGAGTAATGGAAGGGGTTGAACAGACCAAAGTAAAGTACATATCAGTGGGCATGCATTGACACACCCCCTTGAATATCAACTTAAATATTAATGACAAAAGACAGGACTGTAAAATAGGTACAGTGTGTGTGTGGGAGTACTAATGGGAGGTGAGAGGTGAATGGAGATTAAGGTGATGGTATACAGTTGATGAACGTCATAGACTTATATGAAATAGAACTAAGAAACCTCTTGCAATTGCTTCAAGGGGGTTGAGGAGAGATGATGGGAACAGTTTAACTAATGTACAACATAAGTCTAATAGGAATTGTCACGATAAATCCCCACTATAGAACAAATATATCCTAATAAAATTTATCTTAAAAAGAATTGTGATATATACCTTTATTATATATATTTATTATTTTTTCATTAAAATTAATTGATCAATTAAATAAAAGAATGATTACAAGTTATCCAGATGTGAGAGGAAAAAGTAAATATATGTCTTAAAAATGATATGCTTGCCCATAGATTAAATCAATGGAATCACAAATAGGTGAATTTATCAACTTTACAGAAAACTACATGAATCATTCAAAATTCAATTACACTTCTATATTCTAGTAATGAAAAATTTTAAATTCTAGCTGAAAAATGCTCCGTAGACTAGTCATAGCATATGAAACCTTAGGAATAAACGTGACAAGTATATGTAACACATAGTGAAAAATAAGTTTAAATAAAACCTTCTGAGAGAAATTAAAGATCTAAACAAGTGTAAAAATTTAATTTATAGGTCAGCAAAATCAATGTTGAAAAAAATGTCAGTTCTATCTAAAGCTATTTATAGTTTAGTAAAATCAAAATTCCAAGCAGCTTTCCTATAGATATTGAGAAAATGATTCTGATATTCCTATGGTAGTGCAAAGGATATAAAATAGCCAAAAAACCTTGAAAAAGAGGAACAAATTTAGAGGACCAACATTATCTGATTCTAGGTTGATGTAAAGCTTTTTAATTTCTAACTCTGTAATAATGAACAACATCTGAAATCTAGATTCCCCCCATGAGTAGTTCCTGTGGGTAGCAAGTGTCCAGAGGCATCACCTTGCTATAAAGGAAAACTTCTGAGAACACCCCCGACCGCTGAAGGAGAATATGCATCATAAGAAGATTCCCCAGGCAGAGACATTACCACTCCAAGCTAGAATTTGTTGAGAAATCCTGTTGGTCAGAGGAGAAAGAAGAAACAAAGGCCTGCAGTGGACGGTGGCACCAAACTTCAATAACTCTTAAGTTGCCTGTAAATTAAATTGCATTAGTGTGAGGAGGAAGGCAGTTTTACTTAGGATTGACTCC